TAGGATATTTCTGGCAGGATATTGCACATGAAATACGTCTAGAATTTTCCGCAGAATCAAATATTTATATACAGATATACAGAATGTACGATGTACGATTTAAAAAAATAAAGTTGAAAACGGTACGGTTCAGCTGTTCTTGAAACCACCTGCGTATAAACAAATTGGTGTGAAAAAATATCAAGCAAAAAAAAAATTGACATGTCCGAGCGGTTTTTTCAAAACACCTTCATCTAAACCGTATTTTCGCGACGAACTACTTCCGTGATTTCATGGACACACACGCTTTCGCGAGAAACTCATGACGTCATATTGAACGTAGTTCGACGGAAGCATGAATGCAGCTTCTAGCCAGCGTTCAAACTCATGACGTCACAGACGAACTATAGTTTGTCCTTGGATGAAATACATTCGTCGCGAAAATTCGCTTTTATTTTATATTGAATACTTATGTTTCATACTTTTGTTCACCCTGTATATTTAAAAAAAAAATTATACCGGGTGGGACACGAAAAACTTTCCACCGAGGTTTTCTCAGGTGTTAGGTGTTTAATCAAAAATCGCTCAGACACGTCAATTTTTGTTTTTTGGGGGACACATTTTATTGGTATTTTCACCCCCTACCTGTGAACCCCTAAGTGGGGGTGACAGGTACCCACAAAATTTCAAATGAAAAGGGGGGGTCGAGTGATCGTCATTTGATAGCTATTTTCATTAAGATTATTTCATTCATTATAAAATAGACCCATCAGAAAACGTCATTTTTTGAATGAATTTTGTTTAAATAAGTGATTATTTCACAAGACCTTGTTTATCAGCGATTAAATTTTTGTTTACCTTTTTTGACAGAATTTTGATAGAAATATTCTGACATTTTATAATAAATAGAACTCTTTGGATAGGATTGACGCCAACAATTCAATCCTAATTATTCAGGAAATAATCTAGCCGTATACCACTCGACCTATAAATTTAAATGGATTCAACTATCCAAATATTTTTTGCATAATTTTGCTTTTTGGCAAATAGTTTCATGCACAATAACTTTTACCTGTTACCTACGCATAGGTGTGACAGGTAAAAACTGTACAGCTTAGATTATCGGGGATAATACCACGAGAGCTTCAAAATTACCGATAATTTTTCACGATTGCGTGTTTTCTATAATTTCACGAGTCCGTAGGACGAGTGAAATTTGCAGAGAAATCACGCATGAGTGAAAAATTATCTGGTTCATTTTAAAGCTCAAGTGGTATTTAGAGGATTATTTCACGTATGAGAATGCAAAAAATATGGAGATAAATATGTATTAAACGATTTGAACATCTTAACAATCAATACAAATAAATGGTTGCTATCAGGAACCGTTCGTTTGTATCAAAAATTAGCATGACAACCATATATAAAATAACATGGGAGAATTATCGCTGTAATTCTCTCTAGTTAAACAAATGGAAGAGAGAATTTTCGCTGTAATTCTGAAAATCGTCACTTGTCTTATGGGATTTCTAACACATGAGTGGAATAATCGAAAAAAATCATTTATCCTAACTTTGAAATGCCGCCATTTCGGCAGGGTTAATAGTAGCAACTTAAAACTACGGGAATATAATCTCAATGAAAATAGCTACCAAATGACATATCATTCGACCCCTCTTTCCATTTGAAATTTTGGGTGTACCTGTTACCCCCACTTAGGGGTTCACAGGTAGGGGGTGAAAATACCAATAAAATGTGTCCCCCCAAAAACAAAAATTGACGTGTCTGAGCGATTTTTGATTAAACACCTAACACCTGAGAAACCTGGGTGGAAAGTTTTCCGTGCCCCACCTGGTATATTCCTTTGATTTTTCAATTTTTTTATCTCGCAGGAGTAGGGGCCCAGTAAAATTTTTGAACACGGGCCCGGAGCATCTTCACTACGCCACTGATCAGATTATAAAAGTTGGACTGTAAGTTATACTCCTCCATACCAAAATTTGTCAGGAAAAAAAGACTCAACGACTTGTTCAAATTTTAACCCGGCGTCGGACAGGTGGGGTCTTATAGACCCCACTTCGATATTAGCTGCCATTATTTCCGTTTTTTTGCGCTTGCCCGGCCACGCGTCTCAGTAGCCTCTACTTAGGTATTCCTCTAGCTGAGGCAAAGCGCAGTTTAGTTGTCATTGTGATTTCGGCCAGTCTGCACCCCTCCAAACTCGCTTGGAGTCTAATAAACCCCACCTGACCGCTGTCTTGACAACAAGCAATACAGGGAATACTCCGCTACATAAGCACTTTTTTGGCGATATGAGGTGTAGTGGATAGTGGTATAACAAACAGCTACAGATAATAGCTAGTATCTAGCCTGTCTAACTGCTCGACGCCAACAGTCTTATGACAGCGAGTACCTATTGGTGCAGTGCTGTTGAATTCCGCTTTCAAATTACTTTGTTAGCATTAACGTCACAATAAAAACATATTTTGTTTTTCAATAAAAACCGTTCAAACCCTGATATATCGTAGTTTCAATTCAATTTTAAACAAAAAATACCTTACAAGTGAAATTTGGCCCCAAAAACATGCAGATAGACATGGGGTCTATTGGACCCCACCTGACCTATCTTGTAACTTTTGGTCACCTGTCCGACGCCGGGTTAACTAAACCTCGCTAGGACATGCAAATTAAGTCAAATTAATCACTGAAATAAAAATTGAAAACACAACACTTTGAACTAGGAGAGGTAATTATCAATTTTGATCATCTGGAACCATTAAAGAAGATTAGGTACAGCTCCTCTGGATGCAAATCTTCAAACACCCGTAGAAAAAGTATTGTTCCTAAAACTTGCGCAAAGTGTCTTTCCCGCAGTCAAAACTCATCCGAACTCCGCATCGCGTTGTTCGTCTAACTGCTTTTTCGTGCGGGAAAGAATTCAATATGGCGTGGCGGCCAAGCAAGTTTGTTTTAAATATGTTTTCATGAGTATTTTGAATTAGTTTGTTAGTGTTTTGCTCGCAACTTTGATTAATTTCAGCCTCAAAAAGTGTTTATTTTTGTTTGTGATTTTCTGCTGATACCCATTTTTTGACGTTACCCACAGTAAAATGAAAAAGTATTGTAAAAAGTAAATTTTCTAAATAAAATTACGTCATCGTCGAAAAGCGAAACGTCAAAGTCGTCCAAAATTTCAGAAATTTGAAATAAGGGAAGTTTACTGCCTCGCGCTAACCATACACATATAAAGACAAGCAGTAACCTTATTAACGGAATCCTTATTTTCGGACCCAAATGCGCATGCGTAGATGTCAAAATAAGGCTAATTTAAATACTGCTTGTCCTTATTGCACGTCCAATAACTCTCTAATATTTGTTGACTAGGTACCTTAACTATTAAATCGGGCAGAAACTAGATGTTTTTTTGTTTTTTGGCCCATGTGTGGCCGCCACGCCATCTTGAGTGTCACGTGGTTCGTGGTTTGGATTGCAAACCTTGCGTTCGGTATTTTGCTCAAAGAGCAGAGCGTGCTGAGCGGAGCCGTAATCACGTGACAAGCGAGCGAACAGAGCAGTTGAACGCTGTATCAGAGTGCCAGAAATTTTATTAAACGAACGCGAATGAGCATGCACCAAGTACACTTTTTAAAGAAACGAACGGTAAATTCAAGCTCTGAGAACTCAGATCAAAATACCGAACGCACGGCTAATAGTTTTTTTTTCTACAACTGTCAAAAAAAGATGATGTTTGCACGATGACAATAGTTGTATTCCTTTCAAGAGCTTGAAACACTCGAGCTACTCGCTTCGGTGCTTAGTCGCCCCCGATTTGCAGGGAACATATGCGTGGTGCAACAAACTCTTTTCGAAAGGAAAAAGCGCGTGAAGCCCCGGAGCTGTTCCGGAGATCCTCCTAGGTGTGAAAGGAATACAACTATTGGGAACATTCCAGGCGGTCTCAGCGGCTAAGCTCAGCCACTCAGCAGGGACTTTATTCTCGAAACCAAGGAACAGCGTTCTCATAAGAACGATTGTTCTGTCATTGTCAGTGTTATGCCGGACGACAAAGACAGAACCTTCGTTCCAATGAGAACGCTGCTCCCCTGTTTCGAGAATATAGTTCCTGCTGAGTGGCTGAACTAAGCCGCTGGGACCGCCTGAATGTACCCAATTTGCGAAGTGACGCTTTTTTTTTCTGGTATGGATTTTTTACCGTTCCCATGACGCCGTGCGCGAAATGCTTCTCCAGTGTGCGAAATGCCTATTTCGCACACTCAGGTAACAAATAACAAAACAAAAATATTGAAATTCACCTGCCTTTGATTGTAAATGCAATTTTAGCTTCGAATGATCGATATTCAAAAGGAGTTGTAGAAAAATAACTAGTTTGCAACTTGTGCGCGAAATGCTACTTTGGTGATCGAGAACTGATTTTTTTAACGAGGCGCAGCAGAGTAAAAAAAAATAGTCGAGATACAAAAATAACTATTTACTCTAACCATACAAAACTTTGTCGCTGAAAAACCATAATGTTGGTTTTGTCCAAGTAGGAACAGGTAGGAGTTTTGTCAGTAGGAAACCGGCTGTTCCTATGACATTTTGCCGGTGTAAAACACTCTAGTGAAATCTTGAAATAGTCACTTAAAAAAAATGGGTGCGTAGAATTCGAATTTTCCATACCTGCTTGGTTTCGAAACCGTTCATAGGAAGGTTGACTCGGTTTTTGAAGTGTTGGAACAGACTTGAGTCGCTTTCGGGTGCTCCCAGAACACTTCACACCAATCACACCTGTCAGTCACCTGACCTGACCGTACTCCATGCGTTTCGCACTTGAACGCTTGAAACCGAACGGGTCAAACTGTAGCCGGAGTATTTCGGAGTAACTCGGGAGCGCTCAAAGGGTGGCACCCGAAAGCAGCATAAAACCGGTACGTTACATGTTTGTACATTCCTACTGAAATAAGTACAATTAGTCCTTTCTTTAGTACAAATGCTTGCTCCCCTAACAACCGACAACACTGTCCAAGTCTCGTTTCGTCGTCGCTACTCGATCCTATGAAGTGATAAATAAATTTCAAATTTGTAATAGTTGCATTTTTTTCATGTAAGGGAAAGGTTTCAGCACGTCTGATGGTTTTGTGATTTTGTGACCTAGTTCCAGGTTAGAATTTCGGTAAGGTATTTTTTTTGGCTTTTGCCTCGCTTATTGCTTATGTCTTGTGTACAATCATAAGCCGGTACTTCCCCCAGCTCAGCAGTCACACTTACTTCACCACAGTCATAACACGTCGTATTCTCAGCATTTGTTTGTTTGCTCGTTTTGAGAAATAACATTCATTACCGGTAGGTAGATATGTTTAATCACTTTCAATTCAGTATTGTTCCTCATTGTTATTGTTGAACATTGTATAGTTTTCAAGCTAGGTAAAGTGTTGTCCAATAATAATTATTGTAATTCCTACTTGATAATTATTAAATTTTATATGAAATATGTAATAATTTTGGCAGTGACTACTGCATTGTCCACATAGTGTCGACTGAAAACTATCTGCACTGACCAGACAGTGCCGACTAAAATCTATCAGCACTGTCTAGACAGTGCCGACTGAAATCTATCTGCACTGTCCAGACAGTGCCAACTAAAAACCATTTGCACTGTCCAGATAATTTCATTATCATATTATCATATAAAGTTATAGTTATATTCAGAATGGCTTGCAGTCCTTGCTGGGATTTAGTTTATTATTAATTATTTTTGTAATAAGTCCACAAAATGAATGTTTTTCCAATAGTACCTAAGAGCAGAGCTGGGCGAAGCCCTCAGTAAAAGAGCTTGAAGCACGAAGCCCTAAGCCCTTTATCAAAGTGCTTCAATTTCAAGCACAAATTCCTTTTTATTTTCAAAAGTGCTTCACAAGCACAAAGCCCTCAAAGTGCTTTGGGCTTGACAAGCACAAAGCCCTCAAAGTGATTTGAAAAGTACTTGAAGCACATCAAAAGTGCTTCAAGCTCTTTAAATGTGCTTCAAGCTCTTTAAATGTGCTTGAAGCTCTTTATATGTGCCTAAAGCACTGAATTTGTAATAAAATTCTCAAAGTGGCATAAGCTACCGCGTACACTCATCACACAGAATTGGTATAGTAGAGACGAACTCTACATTTCACAGAGTAGCATTAGTATGTTTTTTTTGAGATGTAGTTCTGGGGTACTTGGGGTAGTTGGGGTACTACATGGTAATTCAATTTTAAGGTTTTCAAAATGTTCAATGGGGAAAAGTGAAAAAAATCCAGTGATAAAGTTAAATAGGATACCAATATAAATTAATTATTTATTTGAATAATAAGTTCATTCATTTTTTTTTTTTTTTAATTCCATTCTAAGCTCAAACCCAAAACCTCCATTGTTAAGAGAGAAAAGACATAAGACGGTTCAAGTTCAAATAATAGAAAAAAAAATTAAAGGACAAAATACGATCGAAAATTTTTAAGTGGGGGTTAGGTTGAATGATGGTCAATTCAAATTCCTTTCAAAGTGCTTCAAGCCCTTTTAAAGTGCTGCAAGCCCTTTCAAAGTGCTTCAAGCCCTTTCAAAGTGCTTCAAGCTCCCAAAAGTCCTTCAAGCCCTCTTAAAGTGCTTCAAGCCCTTTCAAAGGGCTTCAAGCTCCCAAAAGTGCTTCAAGGCCTCTAAAAGTAATTGAAGCTCATTGAAAGGGCTTGAATTACTTTTTTCAATTACAAATTACCAAGCACTTTTCTAAAGTAATTGACTTTGCAAGCCCCAATTACAAATCTATAAAAGGGCTTGAAGCACAGGGCTTTCAAGTCCTCAAAGTGCTTCAAGCACTTTCGCAAGCACAAAGCACTCAAGCCCTGCCCAGCTCTGCCTAAGAGTGTCAATTTTCACAGGTCAGCTCGAGGCCAAAAATTCATTCGAGGGTGGCCATAAACACAAATGTCGCATACAAAATAATAACTTTATAACTTTATTTAAAACTGTTTGATTAGGTACATAACAATAAAATACTCCTAAGTCTAATGTCGAAAACAGTCCAAGTAAAAGTTGCACCTAGGTGACTGAACACCTGTATGTGCAACGAGATTTAACACTAAATTCATAACTTATGCTAAAAATATAGTATTAATAATAATATTGCCTAATCCGCTACATTAAGTCTATAACAACCCCAGTATATGAACCAAAAAGATCAATCAATACAATAACACCCCAATAATTACCCAAGAAACTTCACAAATAAAAAAGAAAAATAACTTAAAGAAAAAAAAAAAATACAAAATCAAAAGGAAGCTCGAAAGGAAGTGACGACGCACTACGGCTCAAGCATAAGGTGAAGAAAAGAAAAGAAGCCAAATTTTCACATCAAAAATAGGGCCCTGAAACTGTGCAGATTATCAAAAATAAATTTTCTACACTCAATACTGAATCTTGAAATACAAACAACATTTTCCCTACAAGCGTGCACAAAGTAGTAGGTACTTTTTACGGAGTGCGGAAGTGAAACTTTGAGCACGGAAATGCGTGCGGAAAAGTACTACTTTGGGCACGCTCGTAGGAAAAATTGTTTATATTTTGTGTTTATGGGTAACTTCGAATGAATTTTTGGCCTTAACATGACCTGTGAAAATTAGGCTTTTAGGTACCATTGAAAAAACACTCATTTTGCGAAGCTATAACAAAAATAATTATTAATACACTGAATCCCAGCAAGGAATGCAAGATGCAAGTCATTTTGAATATAACTGCAACTTTATATGATATGATAATCAAATTATCTGGACAGTGCAGATGGTTTTTAGCCGGCACTGTCTGGACAATGCAGATAGATTTCAGTCGGCACTGTCTAGACAGTGCTGATAGATGCTAATTAGTCGGCACTGTCTGGTCAGTGCAGATAGTTTTCAATAGGCACTGTCTGGACAGTGCAGTAGTCACTACCAATAATTTTCTCATCTCCGGAGTGTGGGAACCCTAAAAATTATCGTCAATAAAATAAAGCCTTAGGTAGGTATTATACATTCGAGAGTTGAGTATTAATTATTGCAGATTTTCAACCTGGTGAGATATGCATTTATCTGTACTCTCCGCCCAAGTTAAGAACACCGGTTAAAAAAATGTGCAGAATTTAAGTTCATAGAAATCATAGTTGTCACATACACTCACTACAAGAAAATGAGGCGTTTAATATATTTTAACAAAAAACAATTTATTAAACGCCTCATTTTTTTGTAGTGAGTGTACGTTACAACTATGTTTTCTATGAACTTAAATTATTCACATTTTCTAACTGGTGTTCCTAACTTGGGCGGAGAGTATTGATTGACACGTAAGAGATAAGTGAAGTAGGAGACTGTGTGAATGTGTATATTTTCTAATACAAACTCTTATTACAAAATATACATGTTCATATAAACTCTCCTATTTTATTTATAATTTTACGAGTAATTTTATTAATTTTGACCTTTACACAAGTTGGGTGCTTACAGATATACTGCATAAACTCATAATAAAATAATCAGTGCTTCCTATGCATATTTCCGAGAATTTTCTGATAAATAAATTTAAGTTTGTCTGCATTGCCATAATAATTTAAAGCTAAATCTAATAATAGATTTTGATGCAAACTGAGCTAATATTGATAGGTATGTTATCTGGTTTGCAACTGCAATATTGAGATAACGCATGAGGAAAATGTTATTCGAAATTGAAATTGATCCGATTCTCTTATCACTCACAAATAAATTGGGGATTTGCATTTTATAATTATTATTTTGAGCCTCTTCAAATAAATAATTTATTTTTATTTTTTTGGTAGGTAATTTTTTTGGAAGTAGGTACCTACTTAGATATTCTCTGTAGATATATCACTCTGCACAACTCTGGGACAATGACACCCCCACCAAAAATATTTCAAAAAATTAATAGGTATGTGGTTCTTTACCCACGGAGGCCCACACGATAACTTTTTTTGCCCACCACAAATTTTTGAAAATTATCAATCCAAAATTGCAGTTCGTTTGCCCATCGATTGCCCAATCATGATTATTTCTTGGCCATCCTTGAAAATTGGAATAAAAAATAAATAAATATTATAAATTGAAATATCATTGGGACTTATTTTATTGAAAATAAAGTCAGACCTAGCTCTGACCAACATCTCAACTGATAACTGATATTTGAAATTTCAAAAAAAACCTAGGAAACAACTTTTCTCACATGGTCCTTTGTTAGGCCTTCACAAGTTTGCATACCAGTGCAGAGAGCTACTCCTCTAACGAATAAGACTAGCTCTCCTCACAATGGATCATTTTCCAATAAATTATTTGATGTGTTGAGATGATTTTCTTTCAATATACCTATATTTGCCCTAATTACTTTTAAGTCTACTTTTAAACCTACTATCCTCGCTACTATCCTAACTCAACCTCTGACACAATGCCTCATTGCGTCCAACAAAGGGTTTCTGTCCATAAGGCTACATAAAAATATGATTTCAGACTCGGGTGCTCCACCAGACGTTCTGGTCTTGCTTTCATTAGCGACCAATTTATTTGGAAGAATTCAATTTTATGGCTCCTCCATAATAGGTCTGTTTCTGCAGAAATCACAAACTAGTCAGAGTGAATTTCATTGGTTGAAACTAGTTTTCTGACTATTTCTGACTCTTTTCAACCAATGAAATTCGCTCTGACTGGTTTGTGATTTCTGCAGAAACAGACCTAATATCTCTCCTCTCAAGTTGATGCCAAAAAAGGCATCATCTGCATATAATAACTGTAGACGCGGTTTCTTTGTTGTTATTAAAAGCTTTAGGCGATGCTTCAGGCAAATCATTAATATATTTGAGAATGAGGAGGGGACCCCTGAGGGAAGCCTCATATTGACATCAAATTTCAAAACACTGTCCTTACAACAGAGACATGAGTATGAAATGGACTGCATGTTCCGTATAGTTGCCGTACGCGGCAGTGATGGAAAGATGGTTAGGCAACCAGTCTTTCACATTGTGGGCAAGAAGCTACACAAGCGCATACCCACAACGAGAAATAACACATAATTTCATTTAAAGGTGACATATAATTAGTTATCCATAGTGTATCATTAAAAACTAAATACCAGACGTGCATAAATGTATGTGTTTTGTGCAGACCTGCGAGG